TCCAGCGCCTGCAGCGGCGCGCCCGACGACGACGAGCCCGAGCGCGGCCGCTTGCGGGCCCGCCGCGCGCCGCGCCCGGTCGACGCCGAGCTGCCCGACCCCGACCCCGACCACGACGACGCGCCGCCTTCTTCCTCTTCTTCGTCTTCCATGTCTTCGTCTGTACATGTGTATCACATTCCAAGTCAAAATCTAGTTCCTTCATTCAGAGACCTCATCGAGATCAACACATATTCCTCAAGTCAACGCCTACTCTCAAGAGTAAAGGAAGTCAGTGGACGGAAGTTCCGTACGAGACATATACAACTGACAAACATATAATTTGTTGTTGTTCGGTACTGTATCACGTCAATAACGGCTGATGAGATCAGGATGAAATTTGAAGCAGGGGTAGATTATGCACAAGAATAATATATACTAATGATACACAGGCTGTTTGTTATCACTCGGAGCCGCAATGAGACGCTATGTACAATGTCTCGCTACGTACCGGACAGTCTCGCGCGACTAGTCGAGGGCCCCGGCTCCGCGCTCGCATTGCTACTCTTACTCTTCTTGCCGACACCTTTACCTGTGACAGACACACATAAGTTACCGTATTATACGTTTGCTAGCAATATAGCTTATAGGTAACCTTGACAGTGTATTGTACATTAGTTCAGTGTAATGTAGTCAATTGTAGTATAGTGTTCTAGGGAACAGAGAGTATAGTTCCCTAAGATCGGAAAATGAGGATCCTCCGACCGGCGAGGTGATCGTACCTGGCGGGCTTTCTGCCCAACAGTAGTTCGTTGGGATTGTCTATCGGTGTTTATTCGCTTGTAAACTGTACATGTGCGATGTAGGATTCTTGTGACGTCATCCGTTGACATGTACCATGTGTCGCCACAGTGTATTGTAGTGTACAGTAACTTTGTGTATTGTATTGAAGTATTGTAGCGTAGTGTGATGTAGTGTACTGTAGTATAATGCTGACCCTTCCGATGCATATGTAGCGGAGCGTCGCTGTCCCACGAGTCAGATCGTTGTCTGCCGTGTACTCGGCGAGATGTCGCCGCCAGCGTCTCGGACTCAGAGTCCGACGAGTTCGAGGAGCTGGCAGAGCTGGCAGAACTGGCAGAACTGGCTGATGTCTCCGCTGCAGAGTGCCCATTCATCAGCTCTAAAATATAAAGGAAATCGTTCAATGTTACTCGAACGCCTTTTTCATTAACGTCTCATAAATTTTAACGAACCTCTTATTTAAGATAAACAATATTTTGGTTTTCAGCAACCTTTAAGTGACACCTAACAGTACAAGACATTAGTTTGGGTGCTACGTCGAGGTAGGTAACTCTTAGTTAAGTGATATTTAGAAGTTGGTTGATAAAATGGCAATGAGTATGGCGGTAACATAATTAAATGAGACATAGTCGACCCTCAAAGTGTTAAACATAATCAGGAGAGTACCAGGCGAAGTGCCACCTAAAGCGTTCCTCATGCAGTGTACCAGGACCACAGAAGTTAACAAGCAGTTAGCGATCCTCCCTCAGTATTCAATTATGCAAACTGGAGCTAATACCCGCGCTCCCACTATTCCTTCTAATTCGATTTGAATCTCACAAAACACACACTAAAAAGTCACAATATACAATCTCGTGCAAAATTAAATATAAAACTGACGTTATTGACAGTTCGAAAAAAGTATTGAATTTGACTAGTTGGCAAGTATCCCATTCAGGAGTGGATGCTGAATACGGCTATAATTCTGAATTCGGGAACATTTTCCGTGACATGATACCGTGTCAATGTACAGTCGGCAGTAAAATACAGAGCCGCTAGCGCGAGAGACCAAATCTTAAATCTTTCGAAATATTTTTTCTGATACAAGTATTTTAACTCGTCGAGTACCGTCATTAGACACAATTATAGAACAATAGGCTGCGGTCACCGGTGACCTCGCGGTGTTTGACAGTTTAATAATTGGTAACGTGTCGTATAAGAGCCAATTTACTTTTAAAATGAGAACATTTTGGTTCGATAAGAAAAAAAAGTAAATGTCTCCATTTGTTTGCTCGCAAGTGTAGTATGTATGAGTTACTGACCGTCCTGGTCGCTGGACGGGGGCGCGGTCCGCGTGGAGCGGGCGGGTCGCGCGGCGCGGGGGGCGCGGGCGGTGCGCTGGGGGCGCCGCGCCCCCGCCCCCGCGCGCGCCCCCGGGCCCTGCCGCGTCCACAGCGCCTCAAACAAGGCGGACAGACGCACCGTCATTGAGTATATCTGCAGGGGAGAGCGGGACTGTTACACTCGTACTGATTCTA